GAGTGTACTGAGGGAGTGTTCGAGTGTTGGGGAGTACTATATTGGGGAGTGTTGGGAAGAGGGTTTGAGTGTTGGGGGAGTGATGGTGAATGTTGGAGAGAATGTTGGAGAGAGTAATGGATAATGTTGTGGGCTCTACATTTATACTAAAACATTCTAAAGATATCATCACTCCACCTACACATTCCTCATCTGTAAACCAAAATAATATCTCCGTCATCCCACATTCACCCCCAGGCCACGATGTAAAACTCTACGGTGCCAGCCAGCCACATTTCACTACCTCGCGTCACTTTGGAAAACACCGCCACGACTCTACCTCTTCACCTTCTCCTCCTTCTTCTTCTTCTTCTTCTTCTTCTTCTTCTTCTTCTCCTCCTCCTCCTCCTTCCAGCCACTCTACTCTTTCACTTCCCTTCCTCCTCCTCAATTCTTCTTCACTTCTTCTTCACCTCAAATAATAATCAACTGAGTCTCTATAATTATTGACATCATAATTCAACACCTTAACAACAGTTTACTTACGAATCTCCATATAAACACGTAAGACTCAATGAGACTCAGTACCTGTAGTGGCCGAGAGGTGGCAGCACAGACCGGTGTACTTCCTAACATGATACAAGACATTAACTCTGGGTTATGTAATGGTGTCATGTCTACGTACCATTACTACCCCCCCTTTATGTAAATGGGTCTCGGTACTCCATTAGTCATTTCTATTAGTCTAATGATCATTTAAGGGAGGTAATGGTTGATAATCGTCGGGGTGTAGAGTGTAAGTGTATGTGTATTGTTATTGTAAACTGTTTTATATCATATGTATTTTTGTGATGATTGTGTTTAGTGAATGAGTGTTTATGTTACCTGTACTTGAGTGTTGGGGGTGTTGGAGGAGTGTTGGAGTGTATTGAGGGACTGTTCGAGTGTTGGGAGTGTTGGAGGAGTGTTGGAGTGTATTGAGGGAGTGTTGTTGGGGGTGTTGGGGGAGTGTTGGAGAGTGTTGGAGTGTACTGAGGGAGTGTTCGAGTGTTGGGGAGTACTATATTGGGGAGTGTTGGGAAGAGGGTTTGAGTGTTGGGGGAGTGATGGTGAATGTTGGAGAGAATGTTGGAGAGAGTAATGGATAATGTTGTGGGCTCTACATTTATACTAAAACATTCTAAAGATATCATCACTCCACCTACACATTCCTCATCTGTAAACCAAAATAATATCTCCGTCATCCCACATTCACCCCCAGGCCACGATGTAAAACTCTACGGTGCCAGCCAGCCACATTTCACTACCTCGCGTCACTTTGGAAAACACCGCCACGACTCTACCTACAGTTAATGAGATAAATTCAACCTGTTCCTTACCTCAGTAGCTACATGTTCCGTTCAGACAGGTAATATATCAGTCCAGAGAGTATACTATCATGTTCGTAAAAGTAGATTAGTATATTAGGATGATATACTGTAGTTGTGAAGGCTGGAAGGCGACAGTTCTTGAATCTATATGTGTGTGTGTGTGTGTGTGTGTGTGTGTGTGTGAGTGTAACTATTTCATGGTATCAGTCGAACAAGTACAACATGACAGGTATGATAATAAGAGATAGTATTGATAAGGTCACCTCACCTCACCTCACATCTCCCCCCCATTCCCTCAGCAGTACTCACCAACCTGAGAGACAGACGCCAATACAGACAATCACCTGTAGTTCATCGCGCATTACCTGCAATAACAAAAAATAAACACATTAACACATCATATAGTACAGGTAGACACAGGTAAACAGAGATGATTGTTTACACTTAATTATCTAAAACACTCAATAACTTACCGAAATACTTTATATATTTACCTTTAGTTTAGTATATTATGTTTATTATTATTATTATTATTATTATTATTATTATAAGAATTTTTTGTATTGTACCTAACCAAACCAAACTGGTAAAAAATAAGTTTAATATACAATAAAATGCAACAAGACATCAAAATATGTCTTTGAATTGTGAGGACAGACAGACAGACATTGTTGGTGGCAGGAAGACTCGTTCGAGAGGTTTTACGGTGGCGGCTGATCAACGCACGCACGCACGCACGCACGCACGCACGCACACACACACACACACACACACACACACACACACACACACACACACACACACACACACACACACACACACACACACACACACACACACACACACACACACACACACACACACACACACCTACACCTACCTTTAATCACCAAAAGACTCATCAGAAAACACAATTAGATCTCAAAAAAGGAATTAAATCGATTATCTCTCTTGGAACTAAAGGGATTAAATGAGAAAAATAATCGCCAAATCTCTCCTTAGGATTAACTAGGATTAACTATGAAAATAATTATAATCTGAATTACATTTTAACAGGACCCATTCCACACACTGTTACAAAGAGGGTGGGTGAAGGTGGGGTGAAGGTGGGTGAAGAGGGTGGGGTCAGGGTTGGTTAGGGGTGGGGGGTGGATCAGGTGGGTAGGGTGGTCAGTGAAGGGAGAGTGTGTAGTGGTGATGGTGGAGAAAAGTGTGTAGTGGTGAGGGAAGGAAGGAAGGAAGGAAGGAAGGAAGGAAGGAAGGAAGGAAGGAAGGGAGAGAGAGAGGGGGGAGGGGTGGGAAAATATGTGGGGGGAGGTAAAGTAACACACAGACACTCTGCTAATGACTAGTAACAACACATAACCGCTACTCTCCCATATTAACTGTTACCTGCCACACCCTACCTGTCCCCTACCACACTTACCACCACCACACCTGTCTCCTACCAAACTTACCACAACCACACCTGTCTCCTACCACACTTACCACCCACCACACCTGTCTCCTACCACACTTACCACCCACCACACCTGTCCCCTGCCACACTCACCACCACCACACCTGTCTCCTACCACACTTACCACCACCACATCTGTCTCCTACCACACTTACCACCACCACATCTGTCTCCTACCACACTTACCACCACCACATCTGTCTCCTACCACACTTACCACCACTTACCTCACCACAGTCACCTCCACTCACCACCACAGTCACTATTAACCCATGACTGTCCTAAAAACACTATGGCCAGGTAAACACTATGGCCAGGTAAACACTATGGCCCGGTAAACACAACGGCCAGGTAAACACAACGGCCAGGTAAACACTATGGCCAGGTAAACACTATGGCCAGGTAAACACTATGGCCAGGTAAACACAACGGCCAGGTAAACACTATGGCCAGGTAAACACTATGGCCAGGTAAACACTATGGCCAGGTAAACACTATGGCCAGGTAAACACTATGGCCAGGTAAACACTATGGCCAGGTAAACACTATGGCCAGGTAAACACTATGGCCAGGTAAACACAACGGCCAGGTAAACACTATGGCCAGGTAAACACTATGGCCAGTTAAGCTACGTTAATGGTGCAATGAAAGGCAGGCATTGTGGCGTTCCTCATGGCTCGACTCTAAGACGGTATAAACGCCATTAGCACTGTATTGTTCCTTAGACTGAACCATTAAGCCATTAAAACTCATATGGTGGATAAATAGGTCTTCGGTCTTAATGGGGAACTGATTTTAAAGGGATCCCAAATTCACGTAATGACTGGGTTAATGCCGATTAGGTTAAGGCCCCTTTAGAACTGGGGACCTATTAAGAGTGACCACACACACACACACACACACACACACACACACACACACACACACACACACACACACACACACACACACACACACACACACACACACACACACACACACACACACACACACACACACGATAAAAAGCCTCAATAACTATAATGGACCATCAACCACGGAGGACACTGAAGGTGCAAATAAGATGATGGAACGAAGGCACTGAGAGAGAGAGAGAGAGAGAGAGAGAGAGAGAGAGAGAGAGAGAGAGAGAGAGAGAGCGTGTGAAGTTGAGTGTGAGAATGTGTACAGGTGTGAATGAGGATGAGGAGAGGGAAGAGGAGGAGGAGGAAGAGGAAGAGGAGGAAGAGGAGGAGGAGGAGGAGG